GTTTGTATCAAATATAGAAAGAAAGCTATCGCCATTAAGCCGTATTATTTACGATCAGCGGGAGTCCGCATTGTCGATTATAATTAGTTGCGCAAGACGCAAGTCAATACAAATGCAACAATTTCATGTTGTATTTCATATTATAAAGTTGTAGTTTCATATTTTATTGATAAGAAATAATCAAGACGATGTTTGTGTACAATATAAACATGAAATCATGGGTATTCATCGCACTTGTATGGACATGCAGTCTTGCGCAACTAATTATAATCGACAATACGGACTCCCGCTGGTCGTAAATAATACGGCTTAATGGCGATAGCTCTCTTTCTATATTTGATACAAACTATGATTTTCGCCCGTTTTGCGGACAAGGTTACAATACATAAGCAACGATAATTTTGTGCTAAATAGATAAAGCACAACACAAACTTGATAGTCATAACTTGATATACCTACATTAACACGAATATTCAAAATATATTTAAATAAATACGCACAGTTACGGAATAAATTGACATAAAACGCAAAATATTTACTTTGTTTAGCCATCTAGACAACAAAGCAAGTTAGATTCGTTTGGTACAAGATGCTATGTACAACATTAAACCAAAATGGCAATTGGGGAAAGCGATTTTATGAGTCCGCACAATGGGTTTCCATTTAACCTGTGTTTATTGACGTTTAAGGCTATATAACTGCTCATGTGAAGAACGAATAATAAAATAAAAATCGGTAAAAAATTCACCAGGTCAAAATCTATAACATTAAACCATGACAGGTTAAACCTAACCTTGTTTACTTTTTAAAAATCGCGCCCAACTTGGTATACCCATATTTCGACCTTGGCTGAAACTTGACCCATGCATTAATCTACCTGAGATATCTTTTAAAGTGTTAGGGCCTAAGTAGACTAAGTAATTATAAGTTTTCTTAACTTCTTCTCTAGCCAGGCAAGTAATCCCCGAAGACAAAAGTAACCTCATTAGCAAAACAAGCGCTCCATTCTATGACACTTTGTGGATTTATGGCGACTCGCAAGCCAGGCGAATGTACGACGAAATTCTAAATACAAACTTATGTGGGACGATTTTCAAAGCTTGCAAGCTCAGCAGAAATTGGGTTTATGCATACACGGGGGAATTTCCATCTCAAGATGACTTGGACTTTGACCACAACAGAATAGTAAACGACATCAAGCGAGTTCTGGATCTACCAGAAATGTCAGAAAACAGCGTGATGGTCTTGAATCTTGGCTTGCATTACTTGACATCAACCAATTTTTCAAATTATGTCAAGTTACTTCGCGGAGTTGTGAACGTTTTTAAGGCTCGCGAAAGGGAAGGGAGAAAAACTGCGAAAATGATATGGAAAACGACTACGGAAGTTTCGAAGCATAAGGACACGAACGAGTTGCTCTATTCTGATTTTAAACGATTCTTGAATAATCCGGTAAGTTATGTAGTCTGCAGATGCAGTTCTTCAATGCAAGAAATTCGTGCATGGCAATCCGTGATTTTGAATTTTATTTTTGACAAAAACAATTGAATTTGAATGGCAATCCGTGATTTTTAATTTTATTTTTGACAAAAACAATTTTTCATATTTTAAAGGGGAAGTCAAGTCCGTAATGTAAACAAACGGTTTGTTTACATTTTGAACTGCTGTATTTTTTAAAATATGATCTACTGTCTGAATATCTAACACCATTTTGGTTCGCTATGCTTCTAAATGAATATGAACTAATAGAGTTTATGTTCAGAAAAATTCGAAACATTCGAAATTTGGGCAATGTTCACATTAGAGGTTCTCACATTGTTATGAGCAGAACCGATGCGCAGAACGGACTTGACTTCCCCTTTAAAGAAATGAAAAATGAAGTTATTTTTTCCATTTTCAGACCCTAAGACCCACGGATTTATGGCGTCTCCAAACGACGCGTTGTGTTTCGAGATAAATTATGGGTAACCACAAAGCTATAGGGAAAGTTCTCTAATTCGTTGGTATAATAATATCCGTTAAAAATTAAAAAGCTGCGGGGATTGATTGAGAGATACAACTACACGCGTAAAGATCTCTGACAGCTTGTCAACAAGATCGGTTCGCACTGCTTGTTCCCAGTTGTTGACAAGTCCGGAACAAGTTGTTATCATCTTGTAACAAGGTTGATAAGGCCAACAGACTCGCAACAAGTCGTTCCAACAAGTCTGATATCGTTTGTACGTAACAAGTTGATAACAAGTCGACGAACAGTGCGAATACATCCTGTAACATCGGCTTGACAACAACCTTATTATAACTTGTTTGCAGAGCGGTAACAAATTACACGATTTTATGTGTCTATTTGGAAAAATACAAGGGGAACGTCGACGGGAAGTTAATTTGCAGAAAATTTTGAAAATTACAAGCCCATGCAGAAAGTGCATTTCCAGCTATTCCCAACAAGTTTTGTTTAAAAAATACGAAAATACTGAAAATACGCGGAGTGATTATAACTAGAGAATACTCATGATTTATATGTGGTTTACAAGTATAAAGGATGGGGTGAATTGGGGTATACAAATCCGCCGATCCGCCCAAATTTGAAGCAAAATCCGCGATCCGACAATGGTCTTGTCTAAATTTGAATCCGCTAAAAGCTCTAGTATGAAGTCACGATCCAGGATCCGAACTAAATTGCAAGCTAAATCCACACTCCGAGCCAAAATATTAGATAAATCCGCAATCCGCTGTATTAATAAGATTCGCAAATCCGTGTAAAATATTCGCCAGATCCGAAATCTGAACAATTTTTTCTGTGAAATCCGACAACCGAAAACCTATTCATCCCCCCCCCCCTATAAACTATTATAAAATGGCGCCCGTTGAGAAAGATCGTGACACTATTTTTACGACATTACGGCCATATCAGGAAATAGACTTTACCTGCGGTATGTCGGCGGGTCGGCTATTGCCGTTAGCAGTTGAAACAAATAATTCACAAAACTCAAAAGAATGTATGCATCGACAGCTGTAAACAATGATAGCGCGCAGGCATGCATATGTGAACCAGAATTTGAGGAGAATACCTGAAAAAAAATTAAAATTTACAAATTAGTCGTACGATCAGTTCGATAAGAATGATTCAAATGGCCACAGTGCAACGTGTTTTTACTGTTTTACATGAAGGGCGTTTAAACAAAGGAATCTCATTATGAATTCCATCTACCTTTGTGTTAAAATCTCGTGGGATTACTTGAAATCCATGCATCAATATGCAAATCATTCTTATTTCGTGCAAGGTGAATTCCTTTGCACATTTTACTTATGACATTTTTGCTTCGAATTCGTGTTTGGATTGTACATCATTTCTTTAGAACAACTAACTTTATATATCATGTCCGCGAAGCATGGTCATTTCTGTGTTACTATGTGTAATATGTGTTCAACTGCTCCTCTGACATGTACTCGCATCATTGGACAGGTCAGTTAATATTAAAAATGTATTCACAACTTTCGTCTAAATTGCTGATAAAATTGCTTACAACTTGAGTCTGTTGTACTGTGTAAATCAAGCATGCAACTCACCAACGAGTCGACGACAACGTAGGTAAGTTGTGTGCTTGATTTACAAAGTGCAACTCAAGTTGTAAGCAGGTTGCATGCGACAGTTTTAGGCAAAAGTTGTGTAGTGTAAATCGGCCCTAAATGGTTGCTTATGCGGCTGGCATATCTTATAGAGGCCGGCTTTAGAACTGGCGTGAAAAAAAGCAGAGATATAGTCGTATTCGGTTTGGATTGAGTGAAAATCCTCTCTTGTCGCTAAAGAACGATTTTCATGATAGACAGCCCCTAATTGGCCCCTAACATGTCGACAAAGCGGACTGATATCAGCAAATATCTTTGTGGAAGCATGCTCAAAATTGATTGTCTGAGGCCCGACCTGTCAAACGCGAATGAGAGTTAATGAGAGTTAATGGCGGTCACATATTGTTACAGTGAATATTCCAAGCTCTAGGACTAGGACTAGATTAACAAGTTGTTAACAGCTTGTTCTAAATTGTTACAACACCGGGCATTTTTCAGAAATTACAACTACTGTGGCTAAGTCTCAATGAGGGCCTTTTCCTCACACAGTTACTCGCGTATACATAAAGACCATGCTATGCTGACTTTTATAAGATGGAATGTCGAGAATGTGAGAGAGTATCAGAAAGCAGGCAGGTGCAGCTTTTTCAACAAGGATGACTCTTTACTAATGATCGAAAGGGCCCAGCTCATCGGCTGAAAATATTGCTTCACTACTAGGGCAAGCAAAGTCCAGGAAATACCCAGTAGTAAAAAAGCCCTGTAAATGCTCCAGTAGTTGTATAGTTAAAAATGCCCTGTTACAACAACTAGGAACAAGCAATGCGAACACAACTTGTCGACAGCTTGTGAACAGATTTGTAACAACTTGTTTGCAGACCTATAACAACTTCGTGTGCGTTTTTACGCGTGTACGTGCATGACTAATTTACTCACAATTTTGTGTGTAAAGATTTACTTTAACTAAAGAAATTAGTAAAAATTCTGATAAATTTATGTAATTTTACTCTACATCTTGACTGAGTCACTGTGGGTGTATTATTGTTATATTGGTTTGCAATGTTATATCGTTAACGAAATTTAGCTTGCCCCACGCGTTTAACTATGCATACTACATACGTAAAAACGCACAAGTTGTTACAAATCTGTTCACAAGCTGTCAACAAGTTGTGTTCGCATTGCTTGTCCCATGTTGTCAACACGTTTGCAACAAGCTGTTAACAACTTGCAACAAGCTTGATGGCATTATCAGACTTGTTAATTGCAAGGTTGTTCCAAAAAGTCCGATATAGTCATGATATAACAATACTCTTACAACTTGTGTGAACCTTTGTAACAAGTCTGATAATGACATAAAACTTGTTACAAGTTGTTAATAGCTTGTTCCAAACTTGTTACAACGACTGGGAACAAGCAGTGCGAACACAACTTGTCGACAACACGTGAACAGATTTGTAACAACTTGTTTGCAGACCTGTAACAACTTGTGCGTTTTTACGTGTGTAATATGTTATCTATAAAGTCATGCACATACACATGCATGTGACAACGCACAAGTTGTTACAGGTCTGCAAACACGTTGTTACAAATCGGTTCACAAGCTGTCGACAAGTTTGGAACAAGCTGTTAACAACTTCTGACAAGCTTGATGGCATAATCAGACTAGTTACAAGGTTGTTAACAGCTTGTTCCAAACTTGCTGACAACTTGGGACAAGCAGTGCGAACACAACTTGTTGACGGCTTGTTGGCAGACTTGCTACAAGATGTGAGATTTTTACGTGTGTAGTTAACGAAGTTTAGCTTGGCCCACGCGTTAACCATGCATGCTAATATCTATGCAAGAGAGACCGCGCAAGGCCGCAATTTTAAGCGTTCCTGCGTGATGTTCAAAGCAGAGAAACGCTTGACCTGAACCATTGTCAAGAATCTTCACTAATTTTTCAGTTAGACATATGTGTTTCACAGAAATACTAGACATATGTCATACATAAATATAGGATTTTGTTTAGTTTAATTTATCATGGTTCACGGTTATAGTTTGGTTTCGCCCTTAGTTTATGGTGCTTCCAAGCGCCGGGAGGGGCAGCTATTTAAAAAGGACACTTACTTTTGAGCCTTAATTTTTGTGGACCGCAATATTCATTTAAATTTTGTGTTGTGTGGATACACGATTTAGGACCTTTTTAAAAATTTGTCAATGGGGAGGGGTAGGGGCATCTACAGAAGGGGACCACACTATACTGAGTGTGAAGAGATAACATATGGTTGTTGGTGACAAAACGTTTGGTGTGGCGTCATATGTAATAGTAGGGAGGTCTGGGGACATTCTCCCCCAGACATTTTTCGTATTTTTCCACCCCTAGGACTGCATTACGTGCGTTTACTGCATGGAACAGATTTCCGAATCTTCAGTTAAGCACCTGCATGGTATATTTATGTAAATACCACAACAAGCTTTGCAATATTTAAAATCTTAGCTATTTACAACACAATTTTTAGCATTTTTAAAAAGACATCGAATCATTTGAAGATAAAAGACATGACATAAGATTCACAAAGCAAGGTTCCGTTACTAGAATGTCAAACCTTCCTTCTAAATCCCATTTTTCGTCCAACGTTTTGCTTATATTTTAGAGAAAAGGGACTTTGACTGGGGAGTGGGCGAAATCGGCTTGACTGGGGATCACCATGGGGGCTGGAGGGCTTTGCCCTCCCCAGTTATATAGTTAAAAAGTCCCTGACTCGATCACTTAATTACAACCAATATAGTGAGACAAATTCCGCCATTGATTGGAACAATTTTAACGGGATAGTGAGCACGGCTGTTTGAAAAGCAGATATTCTGCTACCGTGTGTTGTAAATGAACGTAAATAATAATATAAAACAGGATGTACACGGACTTCTGGAAATCAGTTGAAGTCCTTGAAAATCAGTAGAACTCCTTGAAAGTCCTGGAATTCATTTCCTTAACCTCCAGCTGTGCCAACATTATTGATTTAAATTAAAATTACTGAATAAAGTGAATTATTTGCTGGTTAAAGTCTAAAATCCGTGCCATTTTCAAAGTCTTTTTCTCAGTTCTAGGTCCTTGAATTTACTGAAAAAGGGTCTTGAAAGTTCTGGAAAAGTCCCTGAATTTCACCTTCACCAAAAGGTGGACATTCTGATAAAAACAAAAACTGATCATTCGTTTCTATCATTTCAGCGTGTCGCGATGTTCAATGCATATGCCACGTCATTCATGTGTCGTGAGGGATTTGAGATTCTCGACGTACATCCGCTGACCGCATCATATCCAGACGGCACAGGTGGGCCAAAAATGGAGTATTTTAAAGAACATGACATAGTTCATTACAAAACGAACGTAACTAGGCCGTTTGAAGATATATTAGCTGAGTATCTCATGGGAAATCTCCCAGAGAAATTAACCTTTGAAAATTATTTGTTCTCGTAGGGACCGGAGTCCCAAAATTAGGCACCCGTCACTTTCCGAATCATTTTAAAGGGAAAGGACAATATAAATTTTTATTTTCTCATTTGAAAGAACTTTTGAAACTATATATTAAAGTCTTTTACCGATTTTTTATGTCTTGCTTAGTTCTTGAAATTTCTTGAAATATTTTTACTTGAAGTAATCAGATGTCCGCCATCTTGGATAAATTTTTGATCTCATTTAATGGTAGTTTCGGTAACGTCACAACAGGGATTAACCGTATAATAGTATTCGTTGCGGACCAAATATTGATCGGTAGAGGTTTTAAAGGTTTTGATATTTCGAAGGTCAAACAGAGTATAGTTTTGAGTGCAAAATGATTAGTGTTTGTCTAGATAAAAATATCGCGTGACCCCTGTTGTGACGTGACATGCATATCTACAAAAATTGAAGATGGCGGACATTTCATTCCTTTCGATCATGAAAATATTTGTAGAAGTAAGCAAGATAAACGGTAAAAGAGTGTTATATATATGTAGTCTTAAAAGTTCTTTCAAATGAGAAAATAAAAAAGTATATTGCCATTTCCCTTTATGTAATTCAATGTTACAAAAGCAAATTGTTTATTGAACAATTAATATATTGGAATGTTTTTATGTTCCTGCAATTCAACAATTTGTCAACAAGTTGTGAGTGACAACCTTGTAGCAACTTGATAAAGTAACAGCATTGTTACAACTTGTTGACAAGCTTGCTACAAGCCTATTGCGAACGCATCTTGTTGACAAGTTGTGAGATTTTTACGCCTGTAACCCACCTCATGTGGAAGAAATACATGCATATCCTCAATAATCCAAGATGGCGAACAGCTCACTTTTTTCAGTCGAAATATTTTGAAAACAAGCAAGATATAAACAATCTGTAATAGAGTTTAATATATAGTTTTAAGAGTTCTTTCAAATGAACTAAACTATTTTTTTATTATTTTTCTGTGTTGGTGTTATGTACTCAGGTGAATATGATGTTTGGGATGTTACTCTGAGCGTATATCCACACCGGGCAAGCTTGAAAAATATGCCTGGCCACGGTGGGAATCCACCTTTGGAATACTAGGTCACTGCTCTGCCAACCGAGCTAGTCAGTCCAAAGTTCGTAGTTTCGAATCCCACCGTGGCCCGGCATATTTTTCAAGCTCGCCCGGTGTCGATATACACTCAGAGTAACATCACAAGCATCATTTCTTATTGCCAATGTCCAGGGCCGTAGCGAGGGGGGTATTGGGGGGGTGGGGGGGTGGCTAACCCCCCCCCCCCAACTTTTGTAGAATTAACATATTCGGAAAATCGGGTTGGCCATTCGGAAAATTACGGCAATAATAGTATATGCTTTTTGTACGAAAATCATGAGATTCAGGCAATTTATAGGTAATATAAATGGGGGGGCATCTTCATATGCCAGCTTCCTATGCCATGAAATATTCGGAAATTTTTGGCCTACCCAACTATACATGCTAGCTACGGCACTGCCAATGTCCTTTAAGTGAAGTTTAAAATGCGGGAGTTTCAGCACTCGTCACAGTTTTCACAGGGAGTTAAGCAGCTCTAAAAACACATTAAGTCGTATATGTCTTGTTCAAAAAGCTAGCGTGAGCTTCAGTTTCCACTGATTGCCAGGTCTGACTATTCACGTCTGAGTTCGACTACGCTAATTTGCTCAATGTCGTAGCTTTATAGATAAGATTTATTCCTAGCTACTTAATAATAATTTTGAATATGTGCGTATAGTGGGTCATTTTAGCCCCCACTGATTCATCCAAACTGACCAAAACCAACTGTATGAAGCAAGATTTATGACTTAGGGCCAATGAAGCCAGAACAGAGAATCGAGGATAATGAGCGCACAGATCATACCACTGACTGTTTAATTAAACTTTTTCGTTTTAACATGAATCTAAACCAGAAATCAGCCAACTGAAATCAGCGTGTGCACAGTGCCACCCAAGGGAGGGACAATTTGCCCCGGACCCCCAGGTGAAGGGAGGCCCCAAATAAGGATAAAGTAAAATATGCATAGAAACCACAGTTAAAAATTCTCCATATAGAATGCCGGCATTGCTATTCTATGAACTCCAGTACTAGTACTCCACTCCAGTACTATAAATTATAGTACTCCAGTACTAGTACTCCACAAATTTTCCCCGGACCCCCTGAACTATACGTACAGAATACGCAGTGAAAATCAATGTCATATAAATATCGGAAAACCAAAGGAACTGATCTTGCTAATTGTCGTAAAAGTTCAAGAATATGGAAATCAATCTCCAAAACAGCACTGCACATGACTTCCGAAGAATCTTGACGACAGAAAATACTGGAGCTCCAGGTCCCCAAACTTCTCTGCGCGGTCTGTGTGTACGCCCGGGGCACGATGGTATGACTGGAAAAATTCTCATCATCCATAATCATTACAAAATAATAAAAATGCAATATCCAAGTGGTTTGGGGAAAATTGAAATCCTATTTCTTCGTAAGTTGCTGTAAATTAATCCCATTTCGATTGACTGGCGTGAAAATTAATCATATTTTAGTCCAAACAAACTAATCAATACTGATTTTCACCGCGCGGAAACTCTAAATTGAAACTCAAATTGAATATGAATTCTATCACGATTTGAAAATGGCATTGTAATACAGACAATAGTCAACATTGTAATGTAATCTTGTCATCGGCAATGCGGCATTGACATTAATTTTCGAAATGATTTTTAGGAGAAAAGAATTACGATTTTTTTATAATATGATGTGCTAGCTATGGAAAGCAAACAAATTCATCTGAGATTTAGTCTTCAATTAATTTGAACGTTAATTGGTTCTTGTCTCGAATACGAATAAGTCGAACTTTAACGAGGAGAAATCTCGTTTATTGCAAAGCTGATATCGGTTTCAATGTTTAATTTTTTAATTCTACACTTTTCGTTAATTGTTTTTGGCTTTGGCTTTTGAAGTTCATAATCATTTAAAGTTATGTAAACAAAGCAGATATCTTCATAGCCTGGCGATCGGAAATTCATGTGATATAATATATTTTGAATTATTTTTTATTTGCGTTTTTTGCCGCGGGATATATACGCGCGGGAAAGTTTAAGGAGTTTTGCCGCCCTAAAATGTCTAGACTAGTGTCATACGATGATTTATTTTTAGTCGAATTTTTATTAATTTTACTTGGTCTAGTCTACTTTATATGAGATTTGATTTTGCGCATGCAATGAAAGCGATATGTTCTTAAAATAGACTTAATTCCGCATAAAACGCAAAGTCGCAAAATATTCTTGAAATTTATTTGTTATATAGAAGCTCTTATCAATGAAAGGTTTCTTGACAAAATTTCTGAATTTCTACTGTAGGTGCACACGTAAAAATCTCAGTCACTACTTGTCAACAAGACTGACAACAGGCTTGTACTTGTAGGACTTGTAGCAAGCCAATTCGTTGCTACAAGCTTGTCACTCACAACTTGTTGACAAATTGTTGAATTGCAGGACGATAACAAGTTGCTGGAACAATTACCTGTAACAAGTCTGCTGAGCTCAATGACAATCTTGGTCCTTGTAGCAAGTTGTCAACAAGCTGGGAACAAGCTGTGCGAACACATCCTGATGACAGGTTGTTGGAACATTAACATTGCTACAAGACTGTTGCAGGTTTGTTACAACTTGTGCGTTTTTACCTGTGTAAATTGGGGATAGGCTGCGTATGGCTGGCGTTTAAAATTGAGGACAGATCATCAACCCATATGAGCATATCGGATTAATTTGAACTTTTTATTCGCAGTTTGTTTCATAAATTTTCAGACATACATCTCAGTAGACGCCAATCGTAAACGCGTTTGAAAAAGATTAGTAGTATACAGGCGAACTATAGCAAGAATAGCCGCGCGATGTCACTTAATATTAGAGAGGTTAAGATACCCCGGTTTTGGTGTACATGTACGGGTAGCATGATTTTGGTTAGCAATATTTTCGTCGATGTCTGTACCTCTACTCGTAATTAAGGTGCACATTTTTCGCTTTATATCCGTTGTCTATTGCAAGAAAACAGAAAAAGTATGATCGAATTACAGACATCAGTAAAACAAGATGACACTACTCGTACCCGTACACCGAAACCGGGGTATCTTAGCCTCTCTACTGGCGGCAAATCGCAAAATCTGAGAATAGAGTAGGTCGTTTAGTGCAACTTGCTTCAATCGCTGGTTACAAAAACAAAGTCTGTCGAAGTGTTTAGTGTAGTGTTGGCCCGATTTAAGTTATACTGCCTATTTCTGCATTTTCAATATTTGTACAGAGGTTATAGTTTTTACGACATTTGTCTATTTAACTCCATAAAAGAATACCGCATTACTGCCAGTAAGAACAAACGAAAATGCAGCTGAATATAGGCAGTAACTTACACCAGGCAAACATTATACACCAAATACTTTGCTACAGATTTTGTAGTTCTTCAGCCAGCGATTGAGGCAAATTGTAAACGACTTACCATATATCAGTCTCCGATTTTGCGGCAATTTACAGCATCGCGTAATACTCAGCAGAAGCCATGTTTCGACGGGTTATGCATCTATGATATGCAAATTGGGGGAAGGAAATATAATACTCCGAATCATGTCCTTGATTTCTGGCCATGGATATATAATCGCAGTGAAATGCGACACAACTCGGCAAATCTTTATCTTCAAAGTCACATTAAAGAGGTAAATTGTTTGGCTATATACAAGCGCCAAGGCCAAGAAACCCGTACCAATTGACAGATTATTATCTAAAAAAGATCAATCTCATTCCGAGAACTAAAATGTGACCGATCGCCATGACTGGCTGGCGTCAAGCAAATTTGGCCGATCATATTAAAAATTTTCATCCCTGTCATTGACACCGGACCGGCTGCAGGTTACTTTAAGGGGGGCTCTCCCCAACCTCGTTCCCAGGGAGGTTGGGCTCTCTCTAAACCCTCTTATAAAGTCAGCTA